ATGGAGTGTGTGGGTGGCGTTGTGAGTGGTGCAGCACAAGCCACCCATGGTCCCTCTGTAAACGCATGCGTACTGTGGCTCTCCCCCTTGAGGTCACGGTGACAGGCAAATCCGGACACGGATGCCGCCAATCCATATGCATCAGCTGATGCAATCAGCTGGCAGATAAAGTCTGATAGTATTAGCCTAGATGGACGCAGGCTTTCATGGTCATGTTTCATATAATAAGTGTTATAAAGCTTAAGGGCAAGCATTGCTGACGTTTATGAACTCGAGCAACAAAAACATCTTCCAAAAAATCGTGTCTGAGATTTTCTATTAGATTGCAGGGGACTTTAGTTCTGCTATGACGTTGCAAGCAGAAAGCCCTGGAGTTGATTGTTCTTTTTGCTCCTGGCCAGAACTATTGAGAAGAGGTTATAGTAAAATGAGAATGCTTCTCCCTCCTTCAGAAATGAAACGGGTAAAATCTCATTTTAATCTGCCGTTATGTGGATTACAAACTGATCCGTAACACAGCAACAAGGAGAACAATGTGCACATGGCCCACGCAGCCCCAGACAAAAGTATTTTACAATTCGCAATCATGCTCCAAGACTGTTCGAAATAGGATAACATGTTGCAACCTCAGTAAGAAAATCCGTAGTAACTGCGTAAACTTAATCATGACGAATGTGAATGAGCGACATAGAACGACAGACTCAATGTGGTTCTGTACAGCGTGTAGCATGAACCCAACCACAAAGGGAATCTCCGTGCTGACACGGAAATGTGACAAACTGAGAGTGATTTCGTGTCTTTCTACGGATGGTATACCGGCCGCATCGGAAGCTGCTGCAGCAGAGCTCGATACCCGCTGCCTAAACTGTTGCTCAAACTTGGAGCAGATGAGAAAGCCAAGCTTACAGTTGACAGCCTAGTCAGCTACCCCAACCACGAAAACTTTTTAACAGGCGCACAGCCAGGTTCTGCCAACCTCTGTAACCCGGGTTTCTCCATGGAGTATGTCTGTGGCACGTGACACTCCATTGCATTCAGGTTTCTCCAACATTACCAAAATCCTGAAAGCATGCACATCCGTCGTCGCTGCATGTAAACCATAAGCAAAGTAGCGGTCGCATCTACAACTAACCCAAATATCGTCATAAATGTCATGAATAGCAATGCGCATCAGAAAAGTGCGCCTACTGAGCAGTCAAGGAAGCGAAGTACGTTCTTTTCCAAAATTAGAAATAACAGGATAATGCAGAACTCGATAAAGTTAACATACTACCATGTGCCTAAGTCAAAGGAAAACTATGGAGCAACTTGGATCAATGAAAATCTATATGGTATAGGTAGAAAATTGTCATATCTAGACACCCTCGGACAGCCATCACACGCCCGGAAAAGCAATGTACGGCCGTTTTATCCGTTTGGGAATCGTCAGCAGTGCGCATTCCATCGGACTCTGGTAGGACTCGAACCCACAACTCGACTGTTGCCAGTCAGTGGTTAAGAACATTTAGCTACGAGGGACGGCAATGGCCATCGTCCATAAGTTACTAGATGTGATATAGCGCTGTTCACTATCCACTGACTCGAACGTTACTGCCGTGCAGAGGATAGCGTATCCTCTTTACCAAGCGACGAGCTTATCAAACTTAAGCCTCCAATTAACTTATGGCATTAAAAGCGGTTTGGTCTGCGTACTGTTTACAGTACAGAACGGTAAGGTCTAATCACTGATTCCCTACTGCACAAGCATGTCACTTCTTAAGCTTGTTTCAAGATGGGAAGCAAGCCAGCCATCTTGGACCTCGTTCTTACCAAGGAGGAACTTATGCTCCACGTACTAACAACGGACACACCTGTGGACCGCAGCGAGCATGCGACACAAGTGTTCCACTATATGTGCTAAGCGAAGTCTCCTAAAAATGTACGAAGAAATCTCACACTTTAACCAATTATGATGACCTGTCCGACCTCATTAATTTAACAGGCTGGTCTTGCTTAGCCGAATTGTCGGGAATTTGTTCACAGATTAAGCGGGCTCGTGAAAGGCATAGAAGAAAACACAAATCCGTTCGAGGAAAGTGTATTCCTTCCTAGAGAACCTAACCGGTAAGCTCATCGCATGGAAGGCATTAGCATGCATCACCCATATAGACTCCCGAGCGAAGACATCTGGAATGTCTGTTCTAACCAAATTAACCAATACGTTATATTAGTCCGTAAGAACAGAATAGATCCCCAAAGTGACCTGGTGATACAACTTTACTCTAACCCCAAGATGTTATACAGACAATTAAACATTTCAGAATTCCTGCTATGCACAGCATGCGGGTTAAAAGAAATGGCGCCAAAGGTGATCAACGTTCATCGATAACAACTTGGCCGTACATTTCAAAATGCACAATCACATTATATCTTGCCTGCAAAATAGTTGCCGACATCACGCCTAAACCACATATGATTGTAATCAAAGCTGCACTGAATTGCATGATGTGGTTGCGCGGGTCTGGTTTTCCTGATGCAGACGGCATTGGCCAAAAGGTGTTGAACTTTGCTGCCATGAGTTTAGTAGAACGCTTAAAAATACCCTACCAGAAATGTGTTAACGAAATGAACGCCCCCGAAATGTAGAAGCATGGGATCAGCACGCCACTCTACAAAAGAGGTGGCCGTGCAGCACCAGCAAGTTGTCGCCCAATAAGACCACTTTCGGTAATCATGGAGTCCTTTGTCGCTGAGGCGCTCATAAGATACCTGGAGAGTAACAAAATCCTCGTTCAGAAGCAGCACTGGTTTAGCCAGAGTCTGTCCCGTTCTACTAACCTGTTGAAAGTTTGTGCATGCTGGACTGAAGCTGTGGATGCTGGTGTAGCAGTAGGCGCCGCCTATCTGGATTACCAAAAGACATTCGAACGTCTGGACCATTGCATTCCATTGCACATGCATCAGAATTACGAATAAGCGAAGATTCCGTTCCACATCGTTTGAATGTGATGGTTTGCAGCACCGTATCTTAACCAATCAAAATCTAGTGGAGCCTACCTCAGGGCTCGGTACTCGGACGCACCCTGTTCTTATTTCTCCTAAATGATCGCACCCGGATGCGACCTTCAAACTTTCTACTATTTGCCGATGATCTAAATATATTGTCTGCTGTCAACACAGTGAAGGAGCATACAGCCCTACAAGCTGATCTGGATAAAGCCCACACACGGTCCATCGAGAGCATGTTGCAGTTCAACACCGCCCATCTTAACAATCTCAGCGTACGCTGTCAGAAAACTCACAACTACTGGCTTGTGACACAAACTATGCAGCCGGATACTCATGAGTGCGCTCTCACCGTACTAGTGTAAGATGCCCTTAATTGTTCGGGAGAATAAAAAGACATCAACGAGTACAAATCAGCAATTCGACTCCCGTTTGAAAAGTTCGAAAAGTTTGACGCCTCAGTCTTTTCGCATATGGAATACGCTATCCAAGCGTAGCAACCTTATCAGAAGCACCAACTCATCGTGCACGATGCTGCACAACGCAAAGCGATAAAATACGTCAAAGGTTTGTCCCGCCTGTTTTGCCCAGTCAGGCTAAAATCTTCTAAAGTCGTACAGTGCATGTTATCGGCGTATACGACGCGATCGCATCATGGTTTATCAAATCCTAAAAACCCAGACCACATTTGTCCCCATCATTTGAAACTCAGCCAAGACACATCTTTGATGGGTCATCAGATTAATTTGGCCACGCAGTACAGCCGATTGGATTGTCGAGAAAACGTGTGCTCCTTTGGATTGACACTGGCCTGGAACCCTCTCCCGGCACATATAACGAATGTCCTCTTATTATCACTACTCAATTGCACCTTGAAGATACCGAGATACATGTACACTGCGGGATAAGGACCATGACCCTCACGAGAAGTCATTATTGCAGAACAAGTTTTGGACGGAACCATAATCCTCCAAAACTTTAGAGAGGAATACGCATGCATGTGGGGATGCAAACCTCTTGTTGAACCATGTGTTCCGTGTGTTCATATAGAGAACCTGTTTTCGACCTTAAAATTTGCACCCCAATCATCCTACAGAACTTGGTACGCATTTGCTCTTATGTCCGTTATTAGCCATTACTTCATAAAGCTAATGACCTAAAGTGATTCGCTTATGGAAACCTGCTAATGGAGAAGAGTTAACTATTTCTTACCTTAGTGCCGATACACTGAATCGGCGCAAGTGTAGCACCGAGATGGTCTCCCTTAACATATATAGTAAATAGTTTGGAAATTCTTAAAACTGTGCAGGTAACAGAACTATTTTTAGGCATTCACATAATGATTAGTTCACTCAGTTGGACTGTTCCTATCATTTTATAGGAATGTACTGTTTAATTATGTCAATTCCATCTCGATCATGAACAATCACATTTATGTAAAATTGATGTCTATTAATATAATACATTTTGAACTCTAAAATCTACGACTGCTTAACGTTCATGCGACCCCGAACTACGTCCAATTGCATTTACTGGTTGTCTGCGTACAGGTACCTATATACAAGCACAGTTTGAACAAGCGCTAGTAATAAATGACGTTTAATCGGTGGGCTAATTTTCCCGTTACGCTCTAAGAATGCACGTGAATATGTCCCCAAGTGTCTAAGCAGTATGTAATCTGCTAATACCCTTTATTCCATATGACGAATTTTGGCCGCGATTTTGTGATTATAACTTGATTCACTTGCCTCTGCATAATGGAGAAATTTATTTGGCCACATGTCGTTTAATTCGTTCAAATATCAATAGGCTGCAACAAAACCGATTGTTGCAGTGGCCAATAATATTTGGTAGATATAGGGAGCACTCCTTGATCTGAGATCCGAGCAGAGAGCTGGGTTGTTTGCATTTTAATGTCTACCCAACCCTCTCACCAGAAGCATGTGAACAAGTCTTTTGGACTGTAAATGCAGTTTGTGCAAAAAATGTGTAAAGTTATCTAACAGTGAACTAACCTATGCTGTAGGATATAATTCCGGCAGTCTTGTACGCAACCGCGGAAGTTGGAAGATAATTGAGTATGTTGCTTAGCGCTGGAGAAATACAGCGGTTGTACTCACAAGCGGTGAAAATAAATCGTTCAGCAGAAGTAACTAGTTGTACTAGGTCGATCAGTTCTTCAGGCGCTTCCAGCCAAGGATTGGTGTAGTTTGACCACGAAGAACCAAGTAGTGGAAATCCCAACTCTTTAGGGTCTGGAGAAAAATTATTGAAGGTACCAACTTAAACAATGCTCAAATTATGTTAATTCATATTTGATGGTGCCGGAATTCAATGTTGTAATATAAATGATACACTTAAAACTAAAGTGCAAACGAGTTTGAATTATCGTCGTAGTATTAATTTAGAACCAGTGTTAGACAAACTCGCCATACTAATACACCACATTGCCGACTTATACCCAACATTGAACTATTTGCGCGCATGTAGGTTATTAAGGTGTGCGATGAACGAAATTATGCCCTTAAGTTTCGTAGTGCTGTACTCAATGATCGATACGTACACCAATCATTTGCGATGGGTGGCCTTAACGAAGAAGGTTGGTAGAAGCATGCAATTCGCACAGTTCCCTCAACGGTACCAAGCAACTACATTAATTGAATATTAAGTGCGAATGAGTAAAGTAACAACTCGAAAATGGACGAGGCGCAGCTAAGGCTTCTTATGGATTGGCGGTATCCGTGTCCGGATTTGTCTGTCACTGTGGTCTCCACGGGGACAGCCTCATGATGCATGCGCCCACAGAGGGACAATATGTGACTTGCGCTGCACTACCTACACTTCCAACCACACACCCCATATCCTGTGTAAAGCCGAAGGAATAATCCCTGGAGGTAGGTCGATGGGAGCCACGTTTCATAAACGGAGCTGGTGCACACTCCTTCAACAAATAGAACAGAAACCTTCAGGCCTAATTGGGAACTCATGCATACCGGATGTACACCAGACGGTGGCTAAGCTGCAGCCCTTTCCACACAGGATAGAACCACTCTTTGAACCTAGCACCGTCATGAAGACGGTGCACCCCGGCCCACCAGCAACGACCAACTGTCTCCTGGAGCCAGCAATCGAGGAGTGTATTAGACAGGTAGGCACCTTGTCAACATTCACATCTGGCGCAGCCACACCGCGGTGCTAAAACTGTGTGTAAGCTTAGTGATATAGTATCCGCAATGATGTGCAAATCGGTTTCAGTTGTATATTCATCGCTAGTTTGTGCATGCACACTTGGTGCAAGATGATCCGGAACTGCACTATAGTTAAGTCCATTCTAATAAAGTTAATTTTAGTCTGTATAGTGCCTCCGTATGGCACACATTTCTTAAGGAATTTGAGCGTAAAAGCAAGTTTTGAACTGAATTACATAGAGTCACAGTATTTATGGGAACCTATTGTGTAAAGTATGAATCGTGGTTTTGCATAGTTTGTTTAAACTTTGCAAGCTATTTTCAATAATAAACGATATTTCGCTTGTCAACTGCAGAACTGACTAATCTTTGTTAAAGTTAAGGGCTGGAGCAAAATTGGTAGAACTGAGGTATACCAGCTCAGAGGTATATCATTATGTATCATAGTGTTTGAGTAGCGTAATAACATTGACAGCAGGCGTATTACTTAGGAACTCAGGATCAGGAACTCATGATGCGCGAGAAACAACCGAGATGTTTCAACATCTTGAAATATGCAAAGCGCGCTGAGAAGACGCAAGCTGGCAGACAGATGGATTTCTCACTGTCACCTCAGTAACATTAATAATAATCCGTATGTAACTAGTTATTTAGCTATAAATGTGATCAAAAGATCTTGAGGTGCAAAGTGAACGATGCGATTTCAACTCTTATATCCATAGCACGTCAATGACAAATAATTATTTTCGTAGCCAAAGAGCCGGCTATATCCGGCTTATAGCGACAACCTCGAAGGAACGGTGGAAGCAGAGATTAGGGTGGCGTAACACAGTTAAGAAGACTGATCCAAGCTCTATTCTGGGACACCTGAACAGTGAGTGTTTACCTATTGGACTGGCGGTCTACGCGTGCACGAAACTTTGGTGAGCAAGGGATGCTGATCAATTTCCCATTGAAGCCACGTTGGCAGGTGTTACTTTGCTCTGGGAAAACAAGTCTTATCGGTTCGGCCAATGTAGCTGGCTCCTCAATTACACACGAATTGGCACCAATTCGTTACAGGCGCCAGTAAATCACGAGTTCGGTTAATGACTCCAACTTGAGCAACACTGTAAATTCGATGCGTAGCATAAAATATACTTATACAATGGTTCTCTTCACAATAACCTCACCTTTGCAAGGCAAATTTATAAGCAGCTTTTTCTTGGCTGTCGTATACATCAAACCTTTCGGACCTCCTTGTTGGCTGTGTTTCCTTACAAGTCTGTGAAGAATACCATTCAGCGTTGGTCTAGTCAAGAAAAACTCTAGCTTTTCGGCTAGAAAATCAGCAGAGCAAATTCGTCTAGCACGACTAGATAATGTCTTTCAAGGATCTGTTTGTACCGCACTGGTGCGAAACTGATGAAGTGCAAGTATTGGCCAGAGGACGTCACTTTTTATACATGGACTTCTTACTGAGTCCGTCATATCTGTGAATTAGAAGGATGTCAATGAACGGCAGACGTTCCACTTCATAGGCGACCCGCAACCTGGCATATGCCCTGTTAACGTGCCCTATCAACTGCATAGTTTGCTGATCCGAGGAATGAAAAGCCAACATGTCATTAAAATTATGCTTATGAGATCGCAAATTGATAATTTATGTGGATGTGTTCTTTCTGTCCTCAGCACAAAGAAATCCGATAGTGTGTGGGCTACCTATTGTCACTCTATCGATTTTGTGGTATGAAGTTTTCTGAACATGACGCCAAAATTTTTCTGTACAATAACGCAAGGATTAGTGTAGAAATGTGAGTGGAATTGATAACAACTAATCGGATTGCTCAGGTAGTTTATTTATGTACTCAACCGTTTGGCGCAGCGAAACAACGATGAACATACATTCCACATCCAACGAACACACGGCCTTATCAGACAGGTAGCTTCCATCTGGGTCATCGATAAGTTGAAAGAAACCCTTAAGACAGTTGTCGTAGCGACGAAATGATCTTCTGTAGCCAGCGAGACAGTCTCTACTGCTGCGCATTGATTATTGATGGAATCGGCCCACCTGAAGCTCTGCTCTGCTGCTAGTTAACATCAATGAATTATAGGAGTCACTAACAATCACAGGATGTAGGAGAAGTGTTCCAATGTGGGTTAGCCATGTGGGCATCAACGTAGACTAGATTTTCCACCTGAAATATACTTTGAACCGATGGAGAAGACATCCGCTTGGTGTAATTGAACGCTATGTTTTCATTGTCGATACAAAACTTCGTCAGGCCAAGTGAACCAGTGAGTGGTTGCCGTAGCATTTATGGCCAACTAGGATGAATATGGCTTCCGCCGAAGTGAAAGCATGATGGCACTCGCGTTACAGGTCAAAGTTTCATTCCAAGTATTACATTAATAACGATGAGATCATGTATTTAATTGTGCGATGTCAATAGACGTACGATATCAACACGCGGCGAGATGAATACGGGTTGTTTGAGGTTCGCACTCTACCCTGCATACCTCCGCCAGCGCCCCTTAGATGGACCGGGTTAAGACAGCTCGACACACATTCGACAATCCTACTGCATCCATCCTGTTTAAGCAGCTGTTGGCCTTTACACCTTCCAACGCATTATCAGTCAGCCTTCAGGCGTAGATCGCAAGCTCTCTTAATGATTTTGAGATTACCTAAGTCGATTTTATGCCCGGTGTGTTTGATTGACTACCTCCTACCACTGACGCAAAAGCATCAGTAGGCCGGTAAAGCATCTCTCACGAGCTGAGTATAACCATGACAACCTAGTAGTGCATCAAAGGATAACCTTGTTGTACGTAAGTGACATTGCAAGTAGTGCAATAAGAATGGAAAGGTACCAAGTGGTTCACGTTACGGATCGTTCACAGGTAGGTCTTTGTCGGCCGGGATGGAGGATGTTGACTTGATGTTACTTTCTACCATGAATCCCTCCCCTGAGATCCCCCACTCCGTGGAAATCTCCGCACCCATTTATTCTGTTCGCACTGGGGATTTCTACCGCTTCAGCTCTGAACCTTTGAGTTTTGACTTGCAATTCTGTTCTGTTGATCTCGCATCGTCCAAACAGGTTTCTTGCCGTTTGTCTAACGTGTGTAATATTTCGATTGGCCTGTTAACGCGTCAATTTCAAGCGCGAGTATTGCATACGAACGAATTGGTATTTATTTCTAAGCTATTCAACATAGCTGAAGGCCAACAGAAAATCAAGGATTGCGATAACCTTGCTCATCATTTATGAAATTCAAGTAGAATGCCCATTTGTTATGTCAAGTTTCGAAAGATAAACAAAACACGAAGCTTTGAGCAAACAATTGTTTTCGATTACTTCTTCATCAGGCTCATACAGTAATATACATTAGGTTAACGTCTGCTGCAATCGTTAGTGTAACAAAGAAACAATTGATCAGACAATTTAACTTGTGATCGTGATGGCCTTCATCTGATCACGTGACTGAGGTCAGGTGAATTTGCGGAGTACCATTACTTCCTTCACGGCTGGTGGTCGGCCAGGGAAGTTGTAGTGTTTGTATTAGTTTCTTCTGAATACACAAGTTCGGATTTGTGAGACGTATGCATATTGCCTCAGCGGTGGCGAGTATGCTTGCTCTTAGACGATTTATCGAGACCCATATGAAGCGATGCATACCAAAAGCATCAAAACAAACCGTTGAAAAGAAACAGCTTTACTTGACACTTCCATTTAAAGGAAATAGTGAGGCTGAAACATGCACACGCCGACTACAGCAAAGCTGCAAAAAGACCTTTAATGCGGCTCAACTGAATGTGATTTACACCAGCAGACCTTTACTAGTTCCGAGATTCAAAGACCGAGTGCCTGATCATCTCCAATCGATGTTAATCTACCGGTTCACCTGCCCGTGCGGGGCCAGGTACGTTGGAAAGACGACCAGGCATTTAGGTAAGAGAATTAAGGAACACCTACCAGGTTGGCTCTACACGCGCGAGAATAGAACAAACTACAGTGCGATTACAAACCATCTAGTAAACACATGTCACCAGATAGACAAACGAACAGCCTTTCAAATTCTCTACAAAATACCATCAAGACAAAATCATCGTCTAAGAGCAAGCATACTCGCCACCGCTGAGGCAATATGCATACGTCTCACCAATCCGAACTTGTGTGTTCAGAAGAAACTAATACAAACACTACAACTTCCCTGGCCGACCACCAGCCGTGAAGGAAGTAATGGTACTCCGCAAATTCACCTGACCTCAGTCACGTGATCAGATGAAGGCCATCACGATCACAAGTTAAATTGTCTGATCAATTGTTTCTTTGTTACACTAACGATTGCAGCAGACGCTAACCTAATGTATATTACTGTATGAGCCTGATGAAGAAGTAATCGAAAACAATCGTTTGCTCAAAGCTTCGTGTTTTGTTTATCTTCGAAACTTGACATTTATGAAATTGATACTGAACATAAGGGTCGTGTTTTTAAAGCGTAAGCAAGTAATTAATTGGTAATTCTGTATTAAGTTGCTAACGTTAAAACTAATTTGTTGAAGTTGCTTTCCGACGTTTGGCAGTGTTAATTTCCACTGATTATTAATCTAAGTTGAAAGCTCCCAAAAAGTGCATTATTTCAACCGAACATTTATGAGAGTTGTATCATGACTCCACTAACTGTCTATTGTAGTGACAATGCCATTTTACTCCATCAAGCATCACCATCCAGACTTGCACACATTTTGTTTTACTTTGCACTCATCCAAAGCCTATATATACCGGACTGCATTTTTGAACTTGGTCCGCCATCTTGCCCGCGTGTTCCCGGCTGTTGCGCCCCGTCGTGTTGTAACTCATTGCTTCACCACTTTCTCCCACTGCCCTCAGGCTATATTCACATAGCTATTGTACAATGCTGTTTTCTCAAGACATTCTTTATATCCTGCCGTCTTCTGTCTTACTGTGCTACGGATTTCTTGTGTAGCATTCGTCAAGGCGCTACATAATTTGTGACCCCGACGTGACCTCCAATCGCATTCTGGTGAGTTCTTTCCCCTTCTTTGGTTTTTCCACGCAAGCCATGGCCTCAGTTTCTAAAAAATGTGAAGATTCACAGTCTGTGCAAGCGGTATCTCTCGTAGTTGCACCCTTTTTTGAAAAAGATCCCGTTTTGTGTTTCATAATGTTAGAAGCTGAATTTACTTCTAAGCATGTTACTAGTGACTGCAAATTTTAATCACTTGTTAACACGCCTGCCAACTGATATTACTATAGCACTACGTGATCTTATTATTACATCTCGTTCTCCTGACCGTTATAATTTTCTTGAGAACGCTGTAATAAAGCGTGTTAGTCCCTCAGAGAAGTCCCGCCTGCATAAACTTTTTACTGGTCTACAGTTAGGTTCTAGTAAGCCATCCGCACTCTTGCTAGGGCTGCGTGGTCTTCTTCTAGGATCGCATATGGACGAGTCGCTGCTTCGAGAGTTATGGCTTCACCGTTTGCCTGAAAACGTACAAGCTATGCTATCGCTTGCGAAATCGCAGCCTTTGTCAGCAATTGCAGATATTGCTGATAACATGATGGATCATTTCACCGGACCACCGTGTCCGTCGCCTAGTTCTGTTCGCTCACCTGACGTAGGTTTTACTGCTAAGCCTTCGGTCCAAACCATCGACACCGCTACTCCACCTTCGACTGGCGAGCGCTTAGCAGAGATAGCCGCGCTACGGCAAGAAGTGCAAAGCTTAAAGTTACATCGGCACCAACGGGATTCTCCATTCCGTTCCCCTAGCCCATCTCGAAGACGAACACGACGCCCAATTTTTCGGTATCACGCACGTTTTGGAAGGTCCGCCAGAAATTGTATAAAACCATGCTTATTTCCCGTAGTGGCGACGAACGTCGTCCGCCGAAGTCGTCCAAGTCGCCTCTTCAAAATCGTTGATAGGAACACCGGGATCATGTTCCTGGTTGATACCGGGGCGGAAGTTAGCGTGATAAGGAATTTTAGATCTGTTCAGACGGTTTCCGCAGCTGGTCCACTCAGCTGACACTACGCTTCCGGTCGCATCTAGCGTTACGCACCATATACGAACTCGTGGCTCACCGGTTTCTGCACGGCCACGACGTCTCGCCCCTGATAAGCTAAAAGCCGCTAAGGCGGAATTCGAGCACATGCTCGAACTTGGTATCATCCGTCCTTCCGAAAGTCAGTGGGCCTCACCTCTCCACATGGTGCCCAAGAAATGCGGCGACTGGCGGTCCTGCGGAGACTACCGGGCGCTGAACAAGTGCACAGTTGCAGATAGGTATCCTATACCGCACATGCAGAACCTTACAAGTAGTCTCGGTGGTAAGTCAGTGTTTAGTAAGATAGACCTGACGCGAGCATATCACCAGATTCCTGTAGAGGACTGCGATATCCCCAAAACTGCAGTTTTAACACCCTTTGGTTTATTCGAGTTCCTTCGAATGCCTTTCGGGTTAAGGAACGCTGCTCAAGCATCCCAGCGGTTCATCCATTACGTTACTCTTAGTCTGGACTTCGCATATCCTTACGTGGGTGACATCCTAGTAGCTAGCGCCTCTAAGTCGCAACACTTAGAGCCTCTGCGTATCCTATTCCAACGCCTATCTGATCGAGGCGTTACCTTGAACCCTAGCAAGTGCGAACTAGGAAAATCGTCGATCGAATTCCTAGGTCACCGCATCTCAGCTACTGGTATTGAACCACTGTCTCAAAAGGTAACCGCCATCAAAGATTTACCTGAACCAACGTCGGTTAAACAGCTTAAACGTCTCCTTGGGATAGTCAGCTACTATCGACGCTTTATTCCGTGTTGTGCTAGGATAATGCAGCCCTTGACTGACTTGCTTCGGGGCAATCAACATTCGTTTGTTTTTACCAAGTCCGCGCGATTAGCCTTCTCAAACCTTAAAGACGCAATCGCTAATGCTGCTTTCTTAGCACATCCAGTACCATCTGCGCCAATTTCTCTCGTCACTGATGCCTCAGACGAGGCCGTTGGTGCTGTTCTTCAGCAGGCTGTCGACAATACATGGTAACGTTTGGGTTTCTTTTCGAAACGGTTGCAGCCAGCGGAGACACGTTACAGCACCTTCGGGAAAGAACTTCTGGCAGTTTACCTCTCCATCCGTCATTTTCGTCCTTTGCTAGAGGGCAGAAGTTTTACCGTCTTCACTGACCACAAACATTTAGTTTGCGCCCTCGACTCGTCATCCGACAGATACTCTCCGAGAGGGATACGCCACCTGGACTAAGTCTCACAGTTTACCTCAGACATACTGCACGTCTCGGGTATGCAGAACTCCGTCGCTGATGCTCTTTCTCGCGTCAACTCCATCACGTCCGCTGAAGGCATCGATCTAGCGGCAATGGCTGCTGCTCAACAGACCGACCCAGGGCTGGATCAGCTTCGTAACTCTAGCTCCTTACGCATACGACCAGTTCCACTGCCTACTTCGGATGGAACCATACTTTGCGACGTTTCGCAAAATTCACCACGATCAGTGGTTCCTCAAGCTTTCCGACACACTGTGTTTGACATTCTTCACAGTTTATCACATCCAGGCATTCGTGCCACAGTTAAGCTCGTCACACAACGCTTCATGTGGCGCAATGTCAACCGGGACGTTAGACAGTGGACTCGTACGTGCCTTAGTTGCCAACAGTCTAAGATTCATCGACACACGAAAAGTCCGCTTGGTTCATTTCCACTTCCTGACGCCCGTTTTTACCATCTTCATGTTGACCTTGTTGGGCCACTGCCTCCATCTAAAGGATGCGTTTACTTGCTGACTTGTATAGACCGCTTTACAAGATGGCCTGATGCCATCCCAATACCAGATTGCTCATCAGACACTGTCGCTCGCGTTTTTCTAGAGCGATGGGTCTCATACTTTGGTTGTCCTGCCGTTGTGACAACTGATCGAGGTTCGCACTTCGCAGACACATTTGCTCACATTCTTCAGACTCTCGACTGCCGTCACGTCCAAACGACTGCATTCCACCCTGCCGCCAACGGCATGGTTGAGCGTTTTTATCGCCAGCTGAAAGCTGCACTATGTGCACATGATAACGCAGACTGGTACGAAGCGCTTCCCACCGTTTTACTTAGCTTACGGAATACTGTCAAAACCGACATTAACGCTGCTCCGGCCGAACTCGTTTATGGCTGCACATTGCGTCTCCCTGGACAATTAGTCGCCCCAACTCCGGAGAGGGCATGGAACTACAAGAGCTAAATAGCTCGTCTGACGCACCACATGCGTCAGCTGCACCCGCGAGACCCAGGAAACAACGCACTCCAGTGCACGTTTCGAAAGACCTTTCTACATGTTCTCATGTATTCTTACGTGTCGACCAAGTGAAACAGCCTCTCTCCGCACTTTACACAGGTCCATACCGTGTTATTAAACGGTCTTCAAAACTTTGGTGATTGACCGTGGGGGTAAAAGGGATACTGTCTCGATAGATCGCGTCAACCCTGCGTTCATCGATGAAAAACAGTTTGTTCTATCATCGACTTTAACGCAATTTACAGAGGCACCTGTATCGACGCCCACCTTTTCAGCTACACCACAAGCCCAGACATCAGATTCGGCGCAAACTAATACCAGTCACGGTAGAAAAGTTCGTAAACCTGTTCGTTTCTCCGATTTTGTCGAACTCATGCACACCTCATGAATCTTTTTCATTTTCTATCGTCGTTTGTATAATGCTTTTCGGTTAGCAGAGTAAATATATGGATCTGTCTCCCCGAGTTTCTTTCCCATCTATCAGGTAAAGTCATGAGGCTGGCACGTTTGGGTCCGTCCGTTCAACGGTTGGCTGTTTCTCAATTGTTTTGGTCGTTTGGATGCTTTGGTCTACCCTTAACGCTTGGTCGTCTCGCCCGCCCACGTTGGCCTGTGGATCGTGGTCTGTTTGGCTCATTTTGGCTCGCTCAGGTCGTTTGTCTGGCTCGCCTTCCTGGCTTCGGCTGCTCGTGTGCTTGGCTCGTTGTTTTGGTCCCCCACGGCTCGCCGGTACGAACAGGATTACAGCTTCGTTGTGGCAGTGGATTGGAATGCGGTGGGGGGAGTGACCTCTCCCAAGCGCACCGTCTTTCAGCAGCGGTGAAAGGTCCTACCGGCACTTTTTCTGGATTAGCCAGGTTTTGTAGTCCAGTGTGCCCGCTGGGAAGGCCCACCGATGATGCATCCCAATCCACAAGAAGATTAAATAATCTAAATACTAACAAACTCCTATGATTCTGCCTTTTATACATCTACAAGCCAACATCGATCGAAGTCCTCGTCCCTCGGCCTTCTAGAGGGAGGCCTGTGTAGTGACAATGCCATTTTACTCCATCAAGCATCACCATCCAGACTTGCACACATTTTGTTTTACTTTGCACTCATCCAAAGCCTATATATACCGGACTGCATTTTTGAACTTGGTCCGCCATCTTGCCCGCGTGTTCCCGGCTGTTGCGCCCCGTCGTGTTGTAACTCATTGCTTCACCACTTTCTCCCACTGCCCTCAGGCTATATTCACATAGCTATTGTACAGTGCTGTTTTCTCAAGACATTCTTTATATCCTGCCGTCTTCTGTCTTACTGTGCTACGGATTTCTTGTGTAGCATTCGTCAAGGCGCTACACTATTCGTGTATGAAGTAAGAGCCCCTTTTGGTTAATGTGATTCACGCAGCAACCCTTGAGCAAATGTGTACTGGGATGTCTACGCAGGAAACCAAGTTGTCATAGCTCATAAGCATAGCAATTACCAAATGTGGAAACAATACCTGTGGAATTATGGGTCGTGAGCCGCAAACGTGAACAAATAAATATTGGCAAACGAATTGCCCCTATACCATTTCATACAAAGCAATGCAACCGGTTGCAACAAAGGCAGTGCTCAAGACAGCTAAAAATTTCTGGTATTAATTACCAGAAAGGTGCAATGAACAATAACAGATTGATCGAACTCGTTCTTTTGTTTGAGTCTATGGGGAATCGTACGTAGCTATGACTTTGGGAACCCGTCAAGAATGTACTTATGGGATACCAACAGGCCAGATGTACATGTTTAGATTAGAATGCATTTCTACCACATTTGTATATATCCACAAGGGACAACCATCAGTGCACAGCTATTTCTAATCGTTGTTTTCTCTACTTCGTTTGACGAATAAAGCAAAACATTGCATAAATTTTATGTAGTACCAGCAGTATCTGAGAAAATTAATTTGAGCAAGGACGGTTTCAAAGTCCAGAGTGACCTGTTGAATGGATTTTTTAACTCACTCTAATCATGTATTAAACATATACACATCTAGGTAAACCAGTGTAAACTGGGGAATAATTATGTAGTAACTCTGGCAAACGCTGTCAGTTAACTGAAGCCGAAGACTCAGTAAAGAATACATATTAACCTACTTTTCGTCACAGATTTTGCAACTAAAACATCCAGTGCATATGACAGTATATAATTACTTACCCACTATCCGGACATCATGCCCCCTACGTAGCAACCTCCATTTTACCAATTCTAGTACTCGGTCATTGTTGCGCTCATTTCGAACTGAGGACGCAAAGAGCAACGTAACGCCTGAAAGTGGACGGATAGCACTTAACATATTAATGTTCACACAAGTATTGCTAACAACGAACCGATTCTGTTATTGTCTAGCCAATAGGGACAGCCAATAGGGACACATGATGCGCTTCAAGTTGATTGGTGAAGCTATTTTGCGAATCTTCGTTAACGTGCACATCGAGATTGCACAGTTGTCATTTCTGAGCTATTAATGGTGACATTTCTAAGGTCGCTTTCTTATTCGATGGCTTTTGGAAGAGGAAGGTGAAACTCAAACGCGGTTGGAAAGTTGCAAAAGCACGCGTTTCCTCAAATTTAGAAAGTAAGAAATTTGCTTCTTCAACCCTGTGCCCATATATGCGTTTGCCTCGTATTATTTGATCATCCACTGCTATGCATCGTTTGGTCACCATAAGCTTGCTTCATTGAGAAGTCTGCTGATAAGAAGTGCAAAATATGTTTACAAACACCGAAATTTCGTGGGATCTTCTCTAATCATCGCTACAAATCAGTGCTTTGTTAGATACCAGAAATACCTTTCGCATCTGCCATTAGAAATAGCTACATTGCCTTTAACTGGAAATGTACGATAAGTGCAACCGTTGTCAATGGCAGAGAACATAGGAAAAATAGTAACGTTACAGCAATTGCTTTCGCATTTTGACCTGTGATCGGTAAGGAACGTCATTGCAGTCCATACTCCATATTTTACTTTTTCTACGGCACTAGATTTCTATGGCTACACACTTTTATCACCGAGTCGAACGTTAGTCGAATGTTCCAGCATCTGTCAATACCCACATCGCAGTTAGTGTTTAGTCATACTAGAGCGACTTATGTTGGAGTGCATTGTAGTACACCTGCCGAAAAATATTAGATGGCATTAATGAGGCTGTGTGTCGCAGCAATAAGGGTAATCTGGGAAACATTTCGTTTACTGTTTTGACAGCAGCAGCTCATTCCACTAATGCCACAAAGGTGTCTGCTTAATCAGATCACCTAATTTTTGTTGGATAGGGTGTTAGCAGATGCTGCCGCAGGGAATAACACTTAACTAGCCATTATTAAGACTCCGACATTTTTCCACCGGATGTAGTCGGTACTTCTAAAACCACAGCATCCATACGTGTAGGGTATGGTGCCAACAAAGAAAATTCTAAGAGGCAAACAAATTGCATTAATGTTTGTGGAATGTGGATATTATTTCCGTCACAGGAGTGAACCAACCGAGGCAGTATCGGATAGTCGAATAATAAGATATCTGATCATACAGCGTCAAATATTTTCGCTATGCGTCCACAATGTGTAGGAAAGGCATGCATTTTCCGAGTGCCTTAGTGACATTCTCGCTGACACAGAATTATTAGAACACAAATATCTATTATCATTTTTTTAATGGAGTCGATATTTATTACTATCACAAATCGAAAGATAGAAGCTGTTACAATCCGGCGCCCCTCTTCGAATTCGCGCAGGTGGGGTGATATGGCTGTATACCGGGTCTGCCGGCTTCTGGGGATGTTTACGTGGCAACGAACCGTCGGGACGGTGTACCGGCGAACTGTAATGGTCAACGGTAACATTGACCATTGAGCATTGCTAACGCTTTATTTATTAGTATAGAAGACCACGTGCTACAATCATCTTCTTGTTGCTCCATAATAAATAAAAGCTATGCGACCGTGAGCGGGTCACCTTCATTAACTCAGCGTCGTGTGGTTAAATAATCTTTTCAACGGTGAACAGAAGTCAGCTGAATATTCTATTAGAAGCATCCACAATGATTTGTATGAAGCTGAGCACATAATTGGGGAGACACATAGGCCACTAACCAGTTTGCAGCTGCCAAAATGATATCAAACCACGGGTTTTTTCAACACAGACAAGTGGTTACAACTACTAACCGCGTTACTGCAGGAGAACTGCTACTGCAAAGTACAAGAAGCCAGTCAAAACAGAATGAAGGACGGAGAAGTTGAAAAGTCTGTAAAGTAGTCTAGGTCGCAATTGGCATTTTTGCCCCTGGTAAAGCGAACTTATGTTCAATTCCTATAATGTCATTCAGGAGTTACATGAGCTGAGTGCAGGGAACACTAGATGATGATAGAAACAGAATAGACTACAAAATCGACAGAGCTTCATTTGATTCATTTGATGTTTGCTTTGGCTGCTGTGAATCTACGCGTATTGCAGAACGATATAGGAGCAAATGATATCTTTATTTTGCATCTAAACTAACTGTTTTATCATTATTATTGGCTTTCTTATTATTCGTTCGATATCCCTACCGACTATCTAACGGGACCTGTAAAGAAACGTTTCTGAACCGTATAAATACATTGTTAATTGTTTGATATCAGGAGTTCCGCTACGGAGTTGGCTAAGTGTACCAGGACTCATCATTCTGCACCGTAATGTGCGATCCTCAAAATATGAGGCGCTAGTGGATGAGGTTCAGCTATTGGATTGCAATCCCCGCTACCCTCACGTTTGAGTTTCCGATGGAGAGGATGACCCCGTGTCGTCGCACGACTTGGAAACTTCAGGGGACTGCGTCAATCCATCTACTCCCATTCCACAGACCCTTAACGAAATAACTATTCATGTGTCAACGGACACCCATATACCTTAGATTTCTCCAGTTCTCCACCTGGCGCTTCACATGTTAACCAGAAACAGTAAAGAACACGCGCTTACTATTGCCTAGCCGCATGTTGTGGAATTATTCACTTACTCCCTTATTTACGCATACCATGTCGGGGAGAATGACATAACCAACATCAAGATGAAATAAATAAATAAATAAACATTTTATTCCTCAGCAGTGCGAGGCAAAGACCAATTGGGTGGTCTTATCAACATGTACAACGTGATCGCATAATATAGTTAATTGTTCGTCTTTTGATCAAAGGTTCCCATATGGGTTTTTGAAATGATTAGCAGTCAATAGGCCAGTCACAATTTGATGGAAAATCTTGGCGACTGACGACGTTGGTACAGAGACATCAGCTTGGGAGGCGTAGTGCATCAACGAACCAGTGCGTCAAAGAAGAAAACAGAATTGGTTAAACGGATTAATAGGAGTAAGATCGTTCTCAAATATATACTCAAGAATGCAATTATATGTAAGTACTCTTATATTATTGAAACGAATAGAGGATATGGGAGAGGATATGGTGACTTTCATACGTATCCAGGACCTTTCTCATACAAATCATCTAGAGTCATCGTTTGGCTTAGTGTTGACCAGATGTTTGCAACAGTCAGGTGAATATTAATCATGCGTCTGAATTGTGCATAGATAGTGCAGTTTCTAACACTCGATGGAAGTTTGTTCCATATTAACGGATATTTTACAGAGAAAAATTTTGAGCGGAGCTTTGTGCGAGACTTTGGTATTTTGACTGTGCGCTCGCTGTTTCTTAGTTCATAGCGCATACAAGTCTGAAACTCGAGTTGTGGCTGAGCAGTTAAGGTCAATCCGAATAGTAAGCGGTATAAAAGGCACAGATTAAGTTTGAGTCTGCGTAGCCATAGCGGCTCCAGATTTAGCGCCTCGCAACGCTCACGGTATGTCATAGTACTAGGCATGTTCAGAAACCTTTTTGTGAATGATCGTTGAATGTTTTCTAGTGCTATAATATCCACTTTTCTCAGATTACTATGCACTATCGTACAGTACTCAAGTTTCGGCCTAACACATATTTTAAAGGCTTGAAGCCTGGAATCCCTCAAAATAAGAGTTCGACTTATATAGGCGATCACTTTTCTGGCAGAAGCCTGCAAGAATATAACATGCTCTAAAAAGTTAAATGAGGCGGAATATCTTAGACCAATGTCTCGGACTGCGCTACACACAGGAATAGGGGTATGGTTTAATGTAAGGATGTTCAGTGAAGGGCCACAGCCGTAGTACAATAGATTACTCTTGTCCGTAGTAAAGTGCAGCTTCCAGGAGTTACTCCAGAGCTCCAATGCGGACAAGTCAGACTGAATATAGGCTAAGTTAGGACTACGTTGCCCAGGGGTGGAACAATACACAATTTTAACATCATCTGCGAAAAGGAACGGCTTTCCATACGAGATTTCCTCGAGGAGATTGTTGAAATAGATTAAGAATAAAAGCGGGCCTAGCACGCTACCTTGAATCACTCCACTAGAGATTGTAGTGGTTTCAGATGTATAGTTACCGATTTTGACTACTTGCTTTCTACCCTCGAGGTAGGAAGACAACCAGTCTAGAAGCGAATTAGTGATACCATAGGACATAAGCTTCAGCAGCAATAAATTGTGTGGGACACGGTCAAAAGCCTTTTGGATGTCAAGAAATATTACGATGATAGCACTTCCGGCGTCTCTTGCTCTAGTCACATAATCAAGGTAATCTAACTGGCAGGTAGTGCACGACCTACCTTTCAAAAAACCGTGTTGATGTCTACTGAGTAGGCTCATAGAACTCAAATATTCTATTATACGTTCTTTAACTATCCTCTCCATGATTCTGGAAATAATAGATGTGTGGTGGATTGGGCGGTAATTTGTTACATCTTGCATAGATCCGCTTTTGTGCCTTGGTATTATAGTTGATTGTTTCCAGTGTATAGGATACTCCCCATTGAGCATGGAAAGTGTAAATACATTAAGCAAAAACTGGGGGATGTCTGGACCTCCATCCTTTACCAGTATTGGAGGGACGTTGTCAGGGCCTGGTGAGCATGATGGCCGAACTAATTTGAGTTGGCGACATATGTCACTGTGTAAATTCAACAATTTGGAGTGTATTACTCCCTCTGTGTATCAGCTTGAGCTGAGGATCTTCTTTCGCATTAGCGCCATAAGTAGACATAAAGTAGTCATTGAAGATCGAACATATGATGGCACCGTCGATTATGGCAGTTCCATCAGAGTTTACAATGGTGTTTATACAACTTGATTTTCTATTCTGCCTACGGTCCAAAAGTTTTGAGATGAAGCCTACCACATTTGCGCCCCTCCGTGCCATTACTTCCTCAGAGGATAGCATTTTGCGGTGGTCTTGGT